GTGCGTCCCTTCCCCCCGGAGCGGCGTCGGACGGAGGAGGAGAAGCGGCTGCTGGCGCAGGAGGGGGTGATGCTGCCCGGCACCCTGCCCCTCACCCAGGTGCGTGGGGAGGGGGCGGCCACGGGGGTGGGCGCGGGGCAGGGCTCACCCCTCCGCCCCCCCAGGCCGAGGAACGGATCCTGAAAAAGGTGAGGAGAAAGATCCGGAACAAGCAGTCGGCCCAGGACAGCCGGCGGAGGAAGAAGGAATACCTGGACGGGCTGGAGAGCAGGTGGGTGCCGGTGGCACCGCGAGCCGGCACATCCCCGGCATCCCGGCACGTCCCTCACCTCTCCCTGTCTCTGCCCGGGCAGGGCAGCCGCGTGCTCAGCCCAGAACCAGGAGCTCCGAAAGAAAGTCCAGGAGCTGGAGAAGCGCAATGGGTGAGCGCGGCACGGTGCCGGCGTGGGACGGTGCCGGGACGGGCAAGAGAAGGGGCAAACGGGGCGGGCGCTTGCCAACCCCTTGTCCTGCAGGTTGCTGCTGCAGCAGCTACAGGCGCTGATCAAGTCGACGTCCAACAAGGCCGCCCAGACCAGCACCTGCGTCCTGGTACGGCACGCGTACCGCGGCGCACCGGGCACGCCGGCGGCCCCCGGCACCGCTCGGGCACACACGGTTCTCATCTCTCCCCGGCAGATCCTGCTCCTCTCCCTGGGACTCATCCTCTCCCCCAGCTACAGCCCCTTCCGCCGCGGCCCGGGGGGCAACCGGGATGGCGACAGGCCCACCGGAGGTAACGGGGACGCTGCGGAGCCCCGGCTGCGGCTCCCCCCCCCCCCCGCGCCGCCCCCCCCGGCCGTCCCCGGTCGCGCTGCCCACCGCGGCGTTCCCTGTTCCCACAGTGATTTCCAGGAACATCCTGACCCAGGGGGAGCCGCTGGGATCGTCTGGAGAAGCCCCATTCCCTGTGCCGGGGTGGCTGCGGGTGGAAGAGGCAGGACCTGCGGCTGCCGCGGAGGATGCTGCTGAGGGGGTGCATGGGAGCACCCCCCCCGGCAGGGAGCCGGGCACCAACGCCTCAGGCCGGGCCCCCCCGCGGGCTCTGGTGGGGACAGCGAAACGGGGACACGGGGACGAGATGTGACAGGCAGCGGAGAGCTGCTCTGCGGCCCTGGGGTGGGGGCAGCAGCGGGGGGACACCCAGCCCGGCCCGGGCAGGGGGTGCTGGGGGTGCCCCCCACCCACCGCCGGCAGCTCTGTGTGCCGATGAATAAACCCGCACCCGGTTTGCACCCCAACGTGTGTCGGAGGGTCCCCCAGGGCTCCAACGGGGGAGTGGAGCCGGCAGCACAGCCCTGCGTCGCTCCCGTCCTCCCGGGCACAAATGCCAGCGTCGCTCCGGTGACAACGATCAGGATTTATTAGGCACCGCGCTCCCCGCGGGCGGGCAGGGCACCCTCAGCCGGTCCCAGGGGACGCCCCGGCGGCAGCTCCCGGCAGGAGTCCATGTTCACGGAGCGGGGCAGGGCCTGCCCCGGGCACCCATTCCTCCTCCCACCCGGTTGGGAGCAGCGGGCGAGCAGAGTCCTCCGCTCCAGGGCAGCCGGGCTTGGCTAAATGGACTCGATCTGCTTGCGGACCTTCTCCAGCGCCTTCCTGTCCAGCACGCGCTGGCGACACACCACCAGCACCGCGAAGACGGCGGTCACGCACATCATGGTACCCACGAACCTCCAGAAAACGTGCGCCTCCATCACTGCGGAGCGACAGCTGTGCCCACGGGGGGTTAGGAACCCTGCAGGGAACAGCCTCGGCCCCAGATCCCTCCGTGTGTCCCCCTGGGCCTCACGGTTGCCCCGTCCCCCCCGGCCGGGGCCAGCACCCACCTCTTGAACTCGTCCCTCTTGGAGGTGGGACAGCTGATCTTCTCGATGAAGCCCGTGGGGCTACACTGCACTATTCTCTTCTGCAAGCAAGAGGAGCCGGTCAGAGGCCGTGGCGGGGGGGGGGGGGGGGCCCCCCCCCCCCCCCCCCCGCCCCCCCCCCCCC